CTGCCTGTCGGTCCATTATTTAATCCAGACTGAAATTTCTCAATAACTATTAGATCAATTTCCCTGAAGTTGTACCTTCTGTACATTCATGGTCCCAGAGGATGAATCCTACTGACTTTGCATGATTATCTGACTATTTAACCTGTTTAACCTATAAACAACATGGAAGGTGCAGTTTGTAACATAAGATTATTTCTAATTTCTGATCTATTTTTATTTCTAAATAAAATTTTTAAAACTTTTTTTAAAACTCCACTTAAAAACTTATATGCAGCTTCAAATGATAGGAGGCGCAACAATTCAAATCTCAGTCCTGCTACTCTGTCAGTAAACAGCACGCAGCTAATGTGACTAGCCCTAAGTAACTAACTATATGAGAGACAGAAAATAAATATATTTGTTCTCTTAGGAGGTGATGGGACATACCCCCTGTATGAAAGATTACCAGCCAGTAAACGTATTTATATTAGAATTATATATACAGTCTATAGTCCTTTCATCAGTGTGTGGACAGGGCACTCTCCTCTGCAGCAGCTTGTGATTTAAGCTGACAAGCCTGGCTTATTTTTACACGAAAACCCAGCCTGGTGCAGCTTTAAGGAAGTTGGGCAGCTCATTGCAGGGTCAGCTGATGTCATTACTGGTAATCATCTGTACTTGATACCGGCAGTGAGTGATAATGGCTCTGTGTATCAGATGGACTCTTAAATGTGACCATTACATATTTATGGGTAATGATGGTGTGAGGATGTGTAAAGGTGAAGCTGTCAGGCTATCATCATGGTAAGATCCTGCCTTGGAGACAAAACAGGATGGACTTCCTGGCATTAAGTATGAGCTATGAGTCCTGTAAGTGTTCAGTAAAGCAGCAGCCTGCAACATTCAGTGAACATCTGCTTAAACTGAGGAGAAAACTCCTGATAAGAACTGAAAGTCATTTCATATTTTATTTTATAATATCTTATTTGCAGGGCCTGAATCCACTGGGCAGCTGAGGATTGTCTCTCTGTCAGCAGTCTGTTCTTGGCTAAAAAGAGATGGGATGCTGCAGTTTCCTTTTCTAGCTATGAGTAAACATACTGCACCAGTGGAAGGGAAAACTATAAAGAGGCAAGCTGAAGTTGAGTTAAGGACGATTTTAAATGATCCCAGTGCAGTTTGTGTAGTTTTTGTTGTGCAGTCTACGGTCACACTAGCAGCTCTGTGAGGCTGTACTTGCAGGTAGTTGGTCATCCACCAAAGTATTGCAATCCATCCAATAGTTGTTTTGACAATTCACTCAAAAGCACAAATGTCACCCTTATGGTGGCACTACAGGATACACAGAGTTTACCAAAGTCATTTGGATCCATCCTCCGGGGACCATGAATGTCTCTACAAAATGGCATGGCAATCCATCTGATAGTTGAAATATTTCAAAATACCTGCGTTGAAATCAAATGTTGATGCCTTT